ATGCAAATGATGCTAAATGCGATGACTACGTCTAACTCAGAAAGTTCATGGCAAAGTGGACCTGGGATAGTTACATGCATGCAGATATTTTTTGGAATCCAAGCATAGTTGTTGCTGTTGTTGTTGTTGTCTGGTAATACACGTTTTCCAGGTACATTTGATGAACCCTCCCCTACCCTGTGGGATAGGCTTGGCATGGGATAGGCTTGGCAAAGGCTCGCTTCCACCTGCTCCAGATACGGCCGTGCGATATACCACATTCACCATGCCTGGCCTCACCGGGTCTTTAACTCAGGAATCATCTTCTCCATGCAGGCACTGTTTCCGTTGGGAAGAGAGGAATAAGAAAGCCCCCTCCTGGCTGAATCAGGCCCAGGCTCCTGGGCTGGGCACTAGGGGAGCTGATTCATTCAGTGAGCTGTTCCGTCTTGCTCCGGAAGTGTGTAGAATCTCCCTCTTTCGAATTATTTTTCTTAAATGGAAAAAATTCTCATTTCCTGGGGCTAGTTGAAGAGGATTCTGGCTTAAAGACAAGGAAATAAAGTTAATGACTTAGAAAGGCTAAAAATCTTCATGTCAGGTTTTCTCTGTCTCTCTCTCTCTCTCTCTCGTGAATATCTTTATTTTGAGGCCACAGGGATGTAAAAACTGCACAATTCCTTAAATTGCATTAGTTACAAACATGAAAAATTAGCTCTGGCGCAGGTGGTAATTGGTTAGCTAGCAACGGAAAGACAGCGAACGGATTTAGAACTGTGTCCAGGGAAAGACGCAGACGATCAAGTGACACAGAACCGGGCAAGAACCAGCAGAAGAGACCAGAGGAAGGCAGCAGCTGTGAAACAGGCCAGGCAGTAAGGAGCCGCGGAGTCGGCTTTCCAGGGTGCTCGGAGTAGTGGAGACTTGCGCGTGACAGTGTTTGTGTTGTGACATTATCAGGGAAAGGCCATTTTGCTACTGTGTGGTTTACCAGGACGCCATGATCGGGCCTGGTAGACCAGGTGACTTCCGCCACAGGACTTAATTCTCTTCCAGCTGTGCTACCTGGAGGGCTGTGGCCAAGATACCAATAGGGGTGATTTCCTCTGGGGCCTCTCTCTTTCACTTACAGAAACTTGTCTTTTCCCTGGTGCTTGCATTGTGTGTCCTCACCTGTTCCTGTAAGGACTTCAGTCCTATTGGATTTGAGCCCATCTCAATGATCCCATTGCCATAATTTCCTCTTTAAACACCCTGTCTTCAGGGGGTGTGGTATTTAGGATAAAGGTGCTACTGGGCAGCTCTGTCTGGGTGCCTGTGGGTGTTCTGGCTGCTGCACATCCTAGCCAGCTCCCTGCACTGCACCAGAGAAAGCAGCAGAGCACGGCCCAAGTGCCTTGGCTCTTAGCACCCACATGGGAGACCCACATGTGGCTCCTGGCTCTTGGCTTCAGCCTAGCTCTGTCTTGCCCATTGATTCACACTGGGGAGTGAAGCAATGGATAGAAATCTCTCTCTCTCTCTCTCTTTCTCTCTGTAGCTCTGCCTTTCAGAATAAATAAGTCAACCTAAAAAGGCAAATACAATCACGCTCTGAAGGCACTAGGAAGCAGGGCGTGCAGGTGTGAATTTGTCACGAGTGGAGGGATGCGACGTTACACAGCTCCTAACAGTTGGTGGTTCTGCCTTGTTCTTCCATCAACTTCACACGCATCGAGCTTGAGAATAGGTAGATTGTGTGCGAGTTGCCTGTGCTGCTCAGGCACCTTAGCCTCATTGCAGCCCAGCCCTAGGGGCTCCCTTCTGCCCAAATCCTCCTGGCTCTAGCACCTGCCCCTGGAGCATCCCGTGGATTTCCCCACAGGATCCGCACTGATACAGCCGACGACATGTCAGTGTTGACTACCTGCAGCAGCGACAAAGCTGCCTGGCACCCACAGGTGGCATCTTGGATGGCACAGGGAAGCAGCGTGGGAGCTGACAGAGGGGGAGGGGGTGGGGGAGGTGATTGACGCGTTTGCGGTGGGGAGCGTGTTTCGTCTGATGGAGGAGCCCCAGAGGATCGGAGTAATGCTTCTTTCCCTTCATCTGATTTCCATATTCTGGGACTGTGAACGGCTGCGCTTGACTCACCGTGACTCGGGCGAGCTCTGCCCTAAGTTAGAAAACCAGGCACTCGGACTTCGCACATGGGTGGAACTGCCTTGCTCCCAGGAGGGAAGCCCTGGCGCATGCTCAGAACATGAAGCATCGCTGCCTGGACAGCATGGAGCCCAGAGTCCAGGCCCAGTGCCTGCTCAACTTGACTAAAACAGGGACCTGCCGTGGCCTGAGCTGCTAGTGAAACGTGGGTGGAAGAGAAAGGGGAGCAGGGAACAGTGTTGAGGTACACAACTTTTTCTGACATCCTATGCAGCTGCGTGTCCATGCTATGCAGGCCTGGTTGGGGGAAGCAGAGGATGCATTCGTAGTGATCAGAGTGCTGGATGGTAGGGAGGTGGGGACCACTTGCTCTTGGCCCAGCCTCTCCCTGAAGCCCCTCTCCACCCATGTGACACCACTTCCTTCCGGGACTGGATTTCTTGCCCAGCTCTGGTTTCCTGTCACTTGGTCAGCCATTACTGCCTCTTTCTCTACCCCTTGGCCTCCCGTGACTTGCCTACTAGCCTTTTCCCAGTGCTTGCTTTGCACCACACCCTCCTGCCTGTGCTGCTCTCAGTCCAGCATCCTTCCCCTCACCAGGGCTCAGCCACCTCCACATGCCCTGTCTTGAAACTGCCAGGTCTGAAGTTCATACAAGACCAATTAAACAGGGGATGCCCAACCTCACGTGCTGCGTGCGAGGTAGAATCCTCAGGCAGGAATTGATTGAAAATTGAAAAGCCTGGGGCGTGCTTCCAGATCCATTTACAATCTCTGAGAGTGGAATCAGACATTGATGATTTTGTTTTTGTCTTGAATTTGTTCTCGATGTTCCACTTGGAGGTAATGGCTGTCTTTATTCTCTTTAAAAACTTGTAGCTAGCTATCTAAAAACTAGAAAACCATTGTGGGGTGAAAGGTGAGAATGCAGAGCGCTCTTTCATTCATTGATTCTCCCCCGTCAAAGGGCCCACCACAGCAGAGGGATGAACTGGGCCTGAAATAAGGAACTAGGGAAAACAATCTCGATGTCCCCCATGGATTGTAAGGACCCAGCCATGTGAGCCATCACGAGCTGCCTTCCTGGGTCTGTGTTAGCAGCAAGCAGATTCAGTCGCCAGAGCTGGGCATCCGTGCCAGACACTGGGCCAACACAGATGTTCTACTGTGCGGCCAAGTGCCTGCCCTTAATTTTCTTTCTTCACATCTCCTACAGAGTTTTATCAGAACTGTTTCTCCAAAACAGATAGATGGACAGAGGTGTGTGTGTGTGTGTGTGTGTGTGTGTGTGTGTGTGTGTGTGTTTTAAATGCGGTTCAAGGACCAAACCCTGGGTTTCAAATTGGCATTGATCGGTTAATGAAATGTTAGGCAAGCAGCTGTATGCCTCAGTTTCTTCATAGGGGTTCTCTGTCCTATGTAACAATTATTTACAGATTTGGTTTTTGTAGAAAAACAACCTAATGGATTCCCTTTCCAGAGATCCTGGTTCCAGAGTCTGGAGTTGGACCAGGGTCTGACTCCCATGATGCAATGCTTGTGGTTCAAGTAACCAGGAGGATGGGGCACTGCCTGGATCAACAGCTGTGCCTTCTCTGGTCTACCCCACAGCCCAGGCAGTGGCATGAGCCCAGCTCTGCAATCCCTGTTCCAGCACATTCTAGACTCCTCCCCGACTGCCCTTGTAGTACCTGTTTAGAGTAGCCGCAGATTAAGATGGCTCCTGATATAAGTATAACTCAGTACCAATCTGAGCCCTGTTTGCTTGTCACCCACCCAGGCCTTCAATGAGAAGCCTTCAAATTGTGCAAGATCAAAAGAACGGGCCAAGTTTGCCTTTGATGTCTTATTGCAACTTGAGCATCCCTAACCCAGAAATGCAAACTCTGATTCATTCCAGCACTGGAACCCTTTTTACTACAGCCCCGTTAAGGATGTCACAGCAAGTGATTCTGCACCTGACCCAGTGTGAGAGAGGGGTCATTGTTGAAACACAGCTGCCTTCAGGCTGTATGCGTAAAGTGTATAAGAGACCTAAGTGGATTTCATGCTTATATTTGAATTCCATCACATATTTCAACCCCCACCCTCCCAAAAAAAGAAGAACCAGGATCTGTTATACCTACGGCCCATAACACTTCTAGGATACGCCACCTGTACATCCTTGAATAAAACTGTTTCTCTTTGGCCTGGTCTCCAGGGCTGCCTATACCTGGAAGCTCCCCAGCATCCCTGCTGACTCTATCCTCAAGTGTTTCTGTCAGATTTGCTCCAGAAGGCCTTGAGGCATCCCCTTTAAGAAGCGGCTCCTCCCCCAACAGAAGTAGGACACCTTTATTGCACATTTCCTCGGGGGAGCACAGAGCTGCACCTCGGTGCCCTTGACCTTGATCTACCTTCCGTAGTGAGATTTCAGTGCTGAGTGGTTTTGTCTTTTCATTTTTCTTCCTAGGGGGATGCCTGGTTTCCACTGCTATGCCTGGCCGTTTCCCTTGTGTTGGTTAGGTTCATGTTTTGGTTTCTGGTTGTGTGTGTGTGTGTGTTTCGTTTCTCCCACCTCTGTTCAGCCAGGTATCTACCTCATTACAGGTTCCATTTAAGCTGACTTTATTTTGTTTCCATTTTAGCTCAAGCCCATTACACTAAATACTGTACACATTATTATCCCTGAAACAAATTCCCTCAATCAGTTTTAGCCAGCAAGGTCAGGGCCCAATGAGCTGGAAGCCCAGCCCTTGAATTGGCTTTTAACCAAAACAACCCCACAGCCCCCTCCTTTTCCAATCAACATTGCTCCCAGAGGAATGAAGGTTTACATCAGTGAAGAATGTATTAATTAAGGCAAATGAAAGTGCCCTCATTTGTTGTAATGAATTTAGCTCTTGCAGACCATTTTCTTCGGGGTCGCCTGCCTGGATGATGTGCTGAAAAGAATCACGGGGAGAAAGACCATTAAGCTTGTAACTGCCTTCAGAGACCTGCTCTTCACCACTCTGGCTTTTCCTGCATCCGCGGTGAGTTATCAAGATGTGTATCCAATATAATAGATGTGGGCATCCAGATGAGCACTTCTCCCCGGGGAAGCAAGGCCGTTTGGCAGCCCATCATTGTGACTCAGAGCAACTGCATTTGCATGAATGTTGCTTGACGATTGCATCACATTGTCCACTGTCTTCAGGAAATAGAGCATAAGGTACATTACCGGTCAGCTTTGCCATGAACTTTGGTACCTCAGTAGAAGGTTTTCGTTGCTGTCTAATTGGAAGTGTGAAGAATCTTTCTGAATGAAAATAGGGACCATATGTGTAGGTTTAACCAACCATAGGTCAAATGTATTCAAGAGAAAAATTAAATAGTAAAAATATAGTTTAACAACCAGTGACATTTTATTATGTATCATACACAATCCAGAGATGAGTTGAAGTGTAGAAGACAGGAGCATGTTAAACGCCATGCTGTATAAAGACTTGAGCATCTCTGTGTGTTTTGGTGTCCATAAAGGATCCTGGAACCAATCCTTGTGGATACCAAAGGACAACTTGACAACTGGGACATCGCTGGTTCCATTACTGTGACAGAAATGGAGAACCCAGGGGAGGCAAATGGCCCATTTCCCTTTGATCATCTTGTTTCATTTGCTGCAGTAGCCACATACTATTTCTACAAGTGGAAACCCAGCAAATTAAAAAAATATATATTTTAAAAAGATGTGAGATCTTCAAGGTTGACACATGGGAATGACAACCAAGGGGACCAAAATACAGTGTTGGGTATACAGAAGGTGCCTCATCCTTGTGTGGAGTGAAGGGACACTAGGAAGAAGCAAGACGGGTCCTAGCTTCTTTGCTGATGCTTTTCACCTTGCCCGGCATTATTCGGATGGGATGGAGAGAAACTGAGAGCAAGCTGGCTGATCAGTCAGGCTTACAATTAAAGCAACTATCTTTTCCTACCAGTCCTTGACCTGCTTCCTGCAGTACCAAAACTTGCAAAACAAATGCCCAATAGATCTTTGCAGACATTAACGATTCTCAAACAGCAGAACAAACTTCTGCACACTCTAGGATTCTTTTGCACAATACTTTCACTTCCACCCCATAACATCTTCCGAAGGGCATGTAGGGGCTTTTTGTTTGTTTGTTTGTTTGTTTGTTTGTATGGTGGAGTCTTCATTTTTCTAAGGCTCTGAAATTGAACATAGGAGAATTTCAAAGGAGAGAAGGGCAGGAGATTAATAACCACCTCCCAGTCTTTGTGCTGAAGTTGTAACACAGCTGCATCCTCTAGACAGCCCAGGAGAGCAGGGATTGGAGCTCAATTCAACGTTCTAAGCGTTGGAGAGCTCCAACTCCCAGTTTAGCTTGTGAATGACCCTGGAGCTAGCAGCAGCTTCTCTGCTCTCCTAGCCACCTGCTGTCCTTGCCACACCTACTTGCAGCATGAGTGAGGAATTCATCAGACTCAAGGCACTTCATGTGCTTCTATTCTAGTAATTTTAATGAAAGTTGGCAGGAGAGAGGAAGCATTGGGTAAATTCAATGACTGCCGATCGTCATGTCTGCCCATCCTTACCTTCTTGGCTTGCTATGATAGCAAACAGTTAACCTTTATTGAGGAATCCCCAGAGAGGGTAGAGACAGCAGTTCTATAAGGTTCATTGTCCCCCTCTCATGTTCTGTCCCTCTAATGTAAAGTGAGCTCTTCAAAATGGGTTTACATCTGGGCAAGTGGAAACACTAAAGGTGGACCATGGTAGCCAGTGGATTCTGAAGAGATTCCATCATCATGCTTGGAATGGCGAGCTTGGCAGCAATTCGGTACAGGTGAATTATCAAAAGCACTTGAGCAGTGCCCTCGGAGCGTGCCCCACATCGGGGACCCTGGGAAGGTTGGGAGGGTAAGGTGTGGCTTCTCCCTTTGTCTCTCCCCTTCCCAAAGATACAGGGAGGAAAACAGAGAATGTGGAAACTATATTACTCACTTTCCTATAGATCTTGGCTCTTTGAACCCTGATCAGTAAAGATCATCAAAAAAAAACAGTAATTGATAAATAAAAATTAAAAATAAATAAATAAATAAAATGGGTTTGCAATTTTATTTCACACTATCCTTGGGTACCTTAGAAGACTCTAATTAAGCAGACACCTAATGAGGCTATGTTTGTATTCTCTTTTCCAGTTTATATTTTTGGCATTTTGGAGCATCTTTCTCTATAATCGAGAACTCATTTACCCCAAGGCCATTGAAGGCATCTTCCCTGCGTGGCTGAATCATGCAATGGTGAGTGAGCAGAAAGTTAAACGAATGTAGAAAGTCAATGGCCCCTGAAAAATCAAGAGGGATGTGTTTATGTTTCACAACTCATCCTCCATGCCCAGCATCCAACCAACCCACTCTTCCTTCTTCACCCCATCACTGCTATTCAAAGAGCATAAGGTCACAGAACAGACAAGACCCAGTACTGCAGCTGTAGTGTCTCCCGGGACCAAAGGAGAGGTCCCAGCAGAACCCTGCTACATCACTCAGATAGTCCTTAAGAAGCCATACAGCAAGGACCGTGGTCACTTTTTGGAAGTTACATTCCTGAAAATGCAATGGCTTCTGCCAGTTGCATGTGGTAAAATTCCGATCTGGAAACGGAATAAAGCAATTCTAAAAAAAGATTTTATCCCAATATCCAAAGAATGTCTCACACTTCACTAGGACCAGGCATCTCAAATGAAACAATTACTCCATTTTTAAATATTTACATGTTTCTAGGCATATGAGAGTTGCTCCAAGAAGTTCAATTTTGGGGGGGATGCCAAAATTTTTAAAGACCCATGCATTAGAGTTTTGCATAATCTGTGTTTTCCACAAGATATTGAGAATCCCTTGTGCATTCCCATTTGGTTTTCCATTCACGCATGTGTTGTTGAGGCATTGCATGGTAAACAGAGCCAGTTCTGGGTATAGATTCTGCCTTACAGCAACCACTGAAGACTGAAAATAAGTCACAGTGGCCCAGCCGAGCCCAGCTGGAGCCAGGGGACCCAGGACTCCGTGCACAAAGTAGTAGTCCAAAGTCCCAGTTCAGCTTCGAAATACTTACGAATCAATTTCTACAGTATGAGTTGAAAAGCACATCCTAGATTCTATGAAGCAAGTGATGCTAACAACCAGGGGAGGGACAGGTGCTTTACCTACTAGTGAAGATGCCAGTTAAGACATTTGCTTTCCAGATTCCTGACTCTTGACCCCAGCTTCCTGCTAATGCTCACTCACAGGTAGCAGGATTGGCTCACATAGTTGGGTTTCTGATACATAGGAGACCTGAATTGAATTCCTAGCTCTCTGCTTCGGTCCCACTCCAGTCCCAGACATTGTGGGCATATGGGGAGTAAACCAATATGTGCAAGCTCTCTCTCTCTGTCTCTCTGTGTGTGTGTGTCTCTCTCTCCATTTCAAATAAAAAGAATAAATTAAGTAAATAATTTAAGCATATTAAGGCTTCTCAAATTTTTCCACAAAGTGGTTCCTATGTCCTATTCCATTTGTTGTCTCAAAATCCACAGGCTGAATTTCACATTGCAGGCAACGGTGTCAGAATTACATAGGGGTGGTTTTCATGTCCCAGAGGTTCTACCTCTGATCTAACTTTTTGGAGAAAAGCAGCAGCAAATGGCCCAAGTGTTGAAGTCGCTGCACCCCATGTGAGAGACCGGCTGTGCCCTGGATACTGTATCCAAGGAGTGAACTGGCTCATGAGAAGATTTCTCTTCTCCTACCTTTCTGTAACTCTGATTTCCAAATACATAAAAACAAGCTTTTATTGCTTAAAAAACTCACATGCTGGCCAACTTGGAAAAGCAGCTCAGTGCACGAACACTGCCCTCACATTGTGTCCTGCCTCTCAGAAGATAAATTTCATTTCAGTTTTAATACTATGTTCACTGAGCTAGACTACTGACCTACTTAATTTGGAGTTCTGGACTTAAGCTGTACACTAAATAAGTCCCATTCCTTCCCACCACCTTCTTGTCAAAAAGGTCTTTCCTGATTTTGTATTATTGTTGATCTGAATACACCAGCCTACGGAATATTCTGGCTTCTTTTCATGATGCTTTATTTTGTATAAAGCAATTCCTTCAGATATGTGACCATTTAGTTCATATCTTATTTAGTTTAATAACCTTTATCTCCTCCCCTTAAAACAAAACCTTTGGATTGCATTGGTTTACACCGAGAAATGCCAGGCTACAGCCAGGAGCTAGTTCAGTCCCAGTCTCCCATGTGGGCGGCAGGAATCCAGCCACTTGTACCATCACTGCTAGCTCCCACGGTCAGAATTGGAAAGCTATAGTCAGGAGCAGAGCCATGTATCGAACTCAGGCACTGGGATGTAGGAGAGGACATCTTTTATTATTTATTTTTGTTGGAAAGTCAGATACACAGAGAGGAGGAGAGGCAGAGGAAGATCTTCCATCCATTGATGATGCACTCCCCAACCGGCTGCAATAGCTGGAGTTGTGCTGATCTGAAGCCAGGAGCCAGGAGCTGCTTCTGGGTCTCACACGCAGGTGCAGGGTCCCAGGGCCATAGGCTGTCCTCTACTGTTTTCCCAGGCCACAAGCAGGAAGCAGGATAGGAAGTGGGGCTGCCAGGATTAGAACCAGTGCCCATATGGGATTCTGGCACTTGCAAGGCAAAGAATTTACCCACTAAAGCTACCACCCCAGACCCAGAAATAGCGTCTGAAGTGCTGAGCCAACACCTGTTCCACAACCTTCTTTAGATAACTACAATCATCCTAAAATTAAAATTTAAAAAATTAAGGGCTCAGAGGGGTTCAGTTTCACGTTGGGACTCTCCCACCTCATATGTGGCCCAGCCAGCATTGAAACCTGGGGCTGTTTCTTTTGCTACAATAAATCTAGAACTTGCAGTTCAATAAGGGTTCATAACTCACCCAGCGATCAGAAGAATGTCCCTTAGCTTGATTAACATAGCCAACCAAGAATGCTCACTTTGAAAAAATCTGTAATATCCATCTGCATGGTAATAAGCCAAAACTCGAAGAACTTGAAATGATTTGAAACCTTGCACTAGATGTTACTAAAATCAGAAAAAGACAGCGTCCTTTATTTGGTGCCAGACATGGAGGCCAAATACTTTCTCAACATTCTGTGTACTCATCTAATAGTTTTCTTGTAAAGACTTGGTGCTTCCTCCCTTTTGGGGGTTCCATTCTCCACACTGATGTGCACTTGGACCTCTTCCAAATTGTTGATGAGGAAAGTGCCCAGTATTGGTGACCCTGCTAAATAAACAGCCATATGGATTTTGGATCATTTTGGAAACAGAACTGGGTAAGGCACATCAACAGCCATTAACTCATTAGCCAGGCAGGTACTGAGTAATGGAAAGCTTGAAATATTTTTGTGCCTTGCCCTGTCCCTTGCCGTTTAAGCGGTCCAGGAACCCTAATTTCTTAAAGAAAAAGAGGCCCGTGTTAGAGGAGGTGGGACAACTGGAAGCAGAGGGAAGAGGAAGGGGCAGCCTGTCTTGGATCAGAGATAGACAGACTGTACTTTTTTAATTGGAGAGACTCCCTACAGAGTCATCTCTAGAGAGCATGCTAGTATCAGTAAAATGGGCTTTGGATGACCCCAATGCCATGGTCCTTAAGCGTCCGGCTTAAGGAAAATTCCATGTTCTCATGACTCTTCCTCCTTGCTTTCAAAGATTATGCCTTCGCTGGGATATGGAAAACATATTCTGTCCTTGCTATCAAATACCATGGGTCTATAGCTTCCATTGCCAAGTTCCTTTCCTTAAAATTTCCATTTATTAATTTTCTTACTTTATTGGAGAAGCAGAAAAAGAAAGAGAAAGACAGACTAATTACTCTCCAAGTGTTTGCAGTAGCCGGGAAGGGGCCAGACCAGGACTCAATCTGGATCTCCTACATGGGTGCCATGAACCCAACTACCTGGACCATCAGCTGCTGCCTTGCAGACTATGCATTAATAGGAGGTAGGATTAAGCCAAGGCAAGCATTAACCCCCAAGCACTCCAATACAGGACATGGATGACACAGGCACTATTCAACTACTGTGCCAAATGCCCAACCCTCTTGGCCAAATTCTTGGATACTGTTGGAAATTCACATAGAAATGATTGTTCCTGAGTCAATTCATTAACATTTCTCCCTCTCCACCAATGTTGTTCTGTGGCCACCCCAAGGCGTGAATGCAATGGTGGGAAACCATTACTGTGGCAGCCAAAGGAGGGGATGGACAGCCAGGCTGGCCACTTGGGACTGAGCACCCTTGGGTGGGCCAGCCAGCTTTTGAAGAGACTTGGTCTGGTTCCTGGTTTGGGTCTTGTTGTTTTCCGTGATGTGAGAATTACTGCCTGACATAACCAATTTGACACTGTCCTAAATGTTCATTCATTTCACAGCATGTGTTAGATTTGCTCTTCTTGCTTTAATTTATGGAGTGTTTCCCCCTCTACCCTTTGGAAGGTCTCTCTAGCTTTTATGAGTAGCATTTTTTCAGGTGCAGAAGCACCACTTTTCTCATTGATGGAGTGTGGTTCTAGCTACCTTATGACACATCAAGTCTATGGAATCCTTCCAGCCCAACCCTTCTACCTGACCGAACACTTGTCATGGCAACAGGGCCATTCTACTGGTTCAGACACAGGTGCTCTGTGAGTCTCTTAATTCTGTTCGGATAGTAAACTCTGTGGGATGTTCGCATCTGTCCTGGTCAGCATGGTGACAGAGGCTCTCTCACTGAGATCCAACTGCTTTGTATAAAGGAGACCAACCTGACTGCTTAATGCTAAGCGGTTCCCTAGTCTTCATGGAAGAAGAGAAGAGCTAAGTGTGCCTCCAGTTCTGTTAGGAAAACGGGGACTGCTCAGGTCTGATCTACATGATTACTAAAGATAGAACCAAGAGAAGACATTTAAATAGCCGAAAGGAGGTTTCTCAGTCACTGAGAAAACCATGACATGCTAACTGGTGGGGAGTTGGGAGTGGGTTTCTCTGGAAACCAACCCAAGTTGTAATGGTTATACCAAAGGAGATGTGAAATCAGACTTCCCCTCAAAGTCTTGGTACATTTGGAAGCAGCAAAGGATGATAACAAGTGTGTGTACAACACCTTATTGCCTGTCAAGGGCTGCAGAGGGCAAGTTATGACCATCCATACGTAGCAAGTCCTGGCCACAAGCTGCCACCCCAGCCTGCATCCATGATTGTGGAGCGTCAGAACTGAAAAGTCTCCTTG